GGGGATGGGTGGGGAGAGATTAATCAAAGAATTTATAAGCATATATGCATAACCCATGGACACAGACAATAGTCTGGAGAAGGCCTGGGGGCAGGGGGGAGCACATGCAGGAAGGAGGGGGTCAATGGGGAAAAAAAAGGGACGTCTGTAATACTTTCAACAATAAAGAAAAAAAGCCTCAAGACAAAGGAGTCACAGTGCTCTCGCTAGAGCATGCCCACGCCCTGTATCTCTGCTCCTTTTCTCCTACTAAACTCTAAGGGACCCCACGAGACTTGCAACCAGGGCAGCAGTGGGCAGTGGCAGCTCATCCTGGGCTTACCCTCTGAACCTGTCTTCAAGGCCCCCTTTTTCTCTGACTTTCTCCTGTTGCTTCTTCTACCTTAAGCCTTTCCTTTGTTTCACTGCCCCCAGTTTTAATACACATACTCTCAAAACAACCAGGACTCAAGTTGTGAAATCTTTCCTACATGAAGTCAAGAACCCAAATGCTACTGGTGGGCCTGAGACAGACCCACCCCGGGCCCAGACCCGATCCGGTAATACTCTCAACAAATACTCTCAACACTGCCCACTCCAGTGGCAAAAATTATTCCACACTGAGTGGGGACATTCCTTTGCCCAGGGTCACCTGGTAGAGGCAGTAATAAATTCAGGTTTTTTTACTCTCTAAAGCCCTGGCAGCACACCATTCCCAGGGCCACAGAAACTAGAAAGGAGCAGCCTCTGTAATGTGAATGGCCTGAGGCCACTTTCATACCAATATGCACACCCACAGCTTTCCTAGCTTAGCAGGGAAAATGACCTCTCCTCTGAGCTGGTCTTTTCCCTGTGCCTGCCCTAAAGTGTGCCATACCACTGCATGTTTTCCTCTTTGCCCTGGTTGCCAGGAAGCTCAAAGCCAATTCTCACCTCAAGATCCTCCTCCTACCACCACCACCTGTGGAGAAACCCTCTACCTCTCCCTTTGCTCTTCAATTTCGGACTTTTGTCTTACAAGGACCTTTGAGGACAGGGGCTCTAAATCATGAAAGGGCTACAGAACAGCGATTCGAGCATCATTTTTGAATGTGTAGATAGAAGTTAACAACTTTTGGTTTTATTGATCTATATGATCATAAGCCTTTTGAATTAATTTTGGCAGTGAACAGGGTGAAAACCAACAATAAAATGAACATGAGGGAAAAAATTAACAAAGGAAGGGAACATGATAAACTGGGGGTGGGGGTTGATATTTCAAAGCACAGAAGTCTGAGCTGAAAGCATTAGGTCTGCCACTTCTTGGCCATGCAGTCTTAGAGGAACTCTGAGTTTGTACCCACATTTGTAGCATGCAGTCAGAGCAGCGCACCCTGTCAGGGATATTGTCAGGGTGAGAGGAGGCAGTCCCTGTAAATAGTCATATGCTGCTTGGCACAGAGCGTGACCTCAGTGAGGGATGGAGGTGATGCTGAGGGGGACACTGGAGAGGAGGAGGAGTGGGCGAAACCCCCGTTCAGGCCAGGGTAGTTGTGATATTGTGATTTATAATAAATACATATTTGGTCTTCATTTCTGGCACAGAAGCTCCTAAACTGCTAGGAATTCCCTGTGCTGTGAGCTTCAGTGGCCTTTTCTTATGCTAATGAGGTGACTTGTGCCACTACGATTAAATTAGTAACTAAAGTATTATTCTACAATAACCTATGATTCTATTTGACCAAATGTTTTTAAACTGTTGACTTGTTTGACGAGCTTTCCAAGATCAGATTCTAAATTAAGTCTTACTGACCTGGGAATAATGCTCCAGAGGCCCCCCGAGCTCCTTAAAGATTTGCTCTCGCTCCTTATAAAAGGGGAATGTTAAACTAATTAGGCTTATTGGTATGTCGAATTACATGGGAAGCACTGTAAAACAGATAATGCAGAACATCTTGTTATATTTATGTAGATATGTTATTAATACGTTATAAAAATTACATAAAATTCTTAAAATTTGAACATGTCCTGGTAAAGTTATGTCTCTTCTCACGCCTTTAAAATATAAACATTCAGGAGCTAACCTGAACCTTGCCCACAGGCACTGAAGAGAGAAAAATAAGTGGTCTTTTAAAAACGCAAACCACTGTACAAGTTACCTTGCCAAAAGTAATTCACAAAAGAGCTGTGGTCATTTATTTATTTTACAAAAAATAATAAGAATGAAACAAAATCACTGTGTGTAGAAAGCAGGACATGTTTTCAGTAGAAGGCATGGAGCAGGGAGATGCACTTCTGTTGATGAAAGGTGAACAAAATGTGTTTTTTGGATAAGAAGGAATATAAAGGACATGGGTATTTTTTCTGGTAAAGAAAGAAAAAGAAATTTTGTCCTAAAATAAAATGATTGTTTAAAGAAAAGGGTGGGATGAAAATAAAAATGTAGATGTATGTTGCAGGTTTGTGGAAGAGGGATCTTGAGAAAGGTTTATATATAGTCAAAGTCTATTACATTCTTTACATGTATGTATGTGAACTAACCAGGTCTTTAACTATGGCCTTTTAAAAAAAAAAAAATCTTTATTGATTTCAGAGAGAGGAAGGGAGAGGGACAGAGAAAGGAACATCAATGATGAGAGTTACTGATCAGTCGCCTCCTGCACGCCCCCATTGGGGATCAAGTCCGCAACCCGGGCATGCGTCCTGACTCAGAATCGAACCCCGATCTCCTGGATCCTAGGCCGATGCTCAGCCGCTGAGCCACACTGGCAGGGCAACTATGGCCACTTTTAAGTCTTTTGTCATTTGCAGACAATTACTGTTTTACTCTGATGCTTTGGCAAAAAATATTCCTACCACATGTGTTTCATCCTCAAAGAGACTATAACTTTACAAAAGTAACACTGAACTGGGAAGAGGTTTGCAGAACTCTAAGGAAAAACCGGATTCCTAAAACTGCTCACAAGAAGACCAAGATCGGCTAGGATTAATAACATGGGAATGAATGAACTGATAAGGGCGATTACAATTTTTATGACTTTTGATATGAAATATTAGTGTTTTTTGATCCGTATTTTCCAAATGTAAGAATTTTTTTTCTCCGAAGCCATCTACAGCAATTTGGCTAGTTAAATCTTTATAAGCAAAATCAAAACATCATTTATCTTTTCCTCCCTACAAATCCCTTCAAAATCTCAGGCATTCTTTCTTTGTTTTTAGAGAGAGAGGAAGGGGGAGAGAGAAACATTGACTTGTTGTTCCATTTTTTTTTTATATTTCATTGGTTGATTCTTGTAAGTGCCCTGACCCGGGATCGACCCTGCACGCCCCCTACTGAGGATCGAGCTGCAACCCGAGCATGTGTCCTGATGGGAATCAAACAGGTGACCTCTTGGTTCATGGGTCAATGCTCAACCACTGAGCAACACTAGCTGGGCTTGAACCCTCTTTTAACGTCATTTCACTTTTAACCTTCCTGAGTCATTGTGTTATGATATTCCCTAATTGACAGCATCCACTTAGATATTATTTTTTGACCTAATATTAGAAAATTTTAAAATAAGAGTCTGACATTCACCTGTAGTGTCAGGAGTCATATCGCTCATCTTACTACTACTCATGTCTTTTGTGTTTTAATTTTTCCTTTCTGTCTCCTCTGCTTTCTAAATTTTTCAATATGAGGATATATAAATGTAAATATATGTTTGTTCTAATTATGTAAAAGTTGTCAGCTTGCTGTTACCATTCCAAATCACCATTAATTAATGAAATACTTAACCTCTTCTTCAATCGTCAATGTCAGGAGTTAAGCTAGTTGCTCACACTAAGATGGTAAATTAGTGCTCTGACTTCTTCGTTACGTTTGCCACCATTTCAGAGCTGCCATTTAAAGCTTTTCTTACTACTAAATGTTTCCCATGCTTACTGCCTGTATCAGTCATATATTTTTTTAAATTTCCTGTGTCTTATGATGTCGAAGGGCTAGCCAGTTCTTAGAGATGGCAAAGGGCTAGTTTGGGAGCCCGCCTTTAAGATGGAAGCCTGCCAGTCTCTCAGCTACCTGCTTTATCTCTCACACATCAGAACAATATTTCTCCTTCCCCAAGTTGTCCCAGGGCCAGGCAGCAGGCAACTAGAGGGAGCCCTATAACTGAAGCCTGCCACAGTTATTCAAACAGGCTGATCCTAAACTGTTTCCCCTGCCCTGCCTTTCCCACAGGAACCCCAAGGAAAGTTCTGGCTTAGGCTTCTCCTGCCCCTTTCTGCCTCTCAACCAAACCTGGTGCTTCCCCATGTGGCCCTGCAAGGCATGGCATGCCCTTCTCTTGGGAAACATAAGTAATAAATTCTCCTTTCAATGGCATTGGCCTCTCTGTGTCCTCGCTGTCACCTCCATAAATCAAAGCCCCGCAGGTACAGAGGGAACACTGTTGCCTTCATCTCTGAAGATTTGGGTTCACTGTCCGAGCAGGCTGTGTGGCCTGGCCTCCCTGCAAGGGTCAGGCTGAGCCAGCCCCCTCCTACGCCTGCTCCTGAGTCCTACAGGAGCTTCCTTCACCTCAGGCCGTGGTCCTACATGAGCAGAGAGAAGCCCTGAGCATGTCTCGGCTGCCTTGCACCCCCCCTCCTTGTGCTTCCAGCCTCACCTCCTCCTCCAGGGGTGTCTGCATTCTGCCAGGTTCTCTGCCAGAGACCCCTGAGGGGAGTCAGTCTTTATGGCACCTACACTCAGTCCTGTCTACACAAACTACAGAGGCTTCCAGTTGTTGCTAGGGAGTCTGGCGGGGGGCAAGTCTGTGTTCAGTTACTACTGTATGCTGAGGTTACCCCGCAGTGGTCTCTTGTGTCAGCCTAAGACTGAAGCCAAAGACATAACAATGACAACAGAAAACACAGCAGGCATTTCTATAAAGAACCAAACCAATGAGGCCATGGGAGGCCACCCTGGTCAGAGTAAGCTATTCAGTGCCCATTGGAGTGTCAGAATGTGGCAGTACTTCGAAGGGGTCACCCAAGGACTGTGTGTATTGAAATCACCTGGAGAGCTCATAAAAGTCATGCTTTTGGGCCCCAGCCTCAACCTAAGAATTATAATCTCTCAGGAGGAGCCCCAAGTTCCCATGTTGCGCCAAGGCATACTCAGGGCTGAGAGTTTCCAGCACAGAAGTGGGGCAGGCCAACATTTTCTGAGAGTCTGCCCTGCTCCAGGTGCTGTTTCTAACACTCTGCACGAGTCCTCTCAAAACCCCCTGGAAGCAGAGACCCTGAGCTTTCCACGTTGGCGCCAGGGCACTCACCCTGCAGTCCCCTCGCACGCAGAGGCTGAAGGCATCCTTGTAGGAGCATCGCGTCCCATCATGCACCATGCGCTTCATGGACACCACTTCCCCGGTCTCCTTGGACTCGCAGTAGAGGTGGCACCTCTCCTTGGCTGGACGGGAAGAAACGGGGTGTTACGGAAAAGTGCAGGCTGCTCGGCTCAACTTCTTTCCCAAGTCCACTCAAGAGAAATTCCCACGAGGGTCTCCTTAACATTTACCACCCCACCCCCAAATGCGCCTGCCCTGGGCCAGGAAAAGGAAAGGGGTCAGGAGACTGCTACCCTCTTTGTGTTTCTGTCTCAGGGCCTTTGACCCTGGGTGTGGGACTTGGGAAGAGCTTTTCTCAGATGAGCCAGGCTGTTGCTGGAGCAGCCCAGGTCCCAGGCCCCCGAGGCCCTGACACCCAGAGGAAGGCAACTGCCTAGGTGCCTGCTGTCTACTTGAAGACCCTCTTTAGTCAACCTTCTCTAAAACCCCAAATAAGGCTAGATGCCCCTTGATTTAGTCTTGGGTCCCTGGCATCTTCCCTTCTCAGTAATTCTCTCAGAAGTCACTAAAACACTGGGTTATTATTCGATGGCTATCCACCTTGCCCACCAGGCTGCCGCCTGCCGCCTGCCTCCAGGGCGAGGACTGTGTCTGTGCTGGCCCCCTTCCCTGCAGGGCGCTCTGCTGGCATCACACACACAGGATTGGAGATAGTGGGCCATGCGGCAGCCTGCCCTGCCCAGTGCTTGGAAGGGACAAACGCTGTATGTCTAAAATTCCATCATGAGGGAGGGGAACCCAAATGGAATCCAAATAGTTCCTAGGAGCCAATAAATGCCTTTTAACATGTAAAGCAGTTCAAGTAATGTTTTCTGACACTGGACTGAGTCCTGACTGAAATACAAAAAGGCAAGGGGTAGCCTGGTTCCTTGGCAGGGTCCACCCAGCTCTGTCCCCACCTCCATCTCTGTGTGGGTTTAGCAGCACACCCACAGCCTCCTCCCCCGGATGGAGCCTGGCACTCACTGAGCCTCGTGGTCTCCTCTGGGACTACAGTCCTGCCTTGAGCCCCTAGCCTCAGTCCTGGAGTGGGCCCCAGCAGCCACCAGGGTAGGCTCTGCTGGCAGTCCTGCTCACACAGACTCAGTGGCACAAGAAAGCTTGAGCCCCAGCCCACCCACCCTG